TTTAAGTAATTTAGAAAGTGATGTTAACAATTGAATGAAGAAGACGAATTTGTATATGCATGAGAGTAAACTAGGTGATATCTAAACCCCAACAACATATTCATCTCATAATTTCAAATATCATTCATTCACCTTTGTGTTTTTCTCAATTAATCAAAAGTGCATTCATATTTACTTTCTTGTTTTTGCATTTAAAAACCCTAAATTGTTCTTCATAGTCTTAATTAGTTAAGTAATTACATGACTGTCTAGTGCCGTGAGTCTCTTGGGAAACGATACTTGGTTTTACCATTTATTATTACTTGATACGATTCGGTACACTTGTCGAGGTCTTAACATTCAACTTCATCATTTAGCAATGTATGATTTATTTTTTATATTGTTTTGAAGTTGTTTTCTACCATTAGATTTCAGAGCTAACTAATATCTTATAAGGTGGAAACAACTTGAAGACAAAGGTTTGAAGTTTATTCATTTTTTTAAGTTCCCTGGTAATGTATTTCAAAGGTTTGACGTCGAATTCGCTTCCTAGCAGGCATCCTATATCATAGAGGGTTTCTAAAAGAAATCCACTTTTACAAAACATAGCGTCAAAAATGAACATGAAACAAGAATGAATACATTATAACGAAACATAGGAAATAAATAAGAAAAAAACAGCAAAATGGAGAATGTTTTTGAAATTCATAAGTGTTAACATTTTCCTCTGGTTTTCCACCATGCCTTCATCGTTAACAAAGAAATGTCTTCGTTTAGTGGAGGAATCGATGGAAAACCAACGGAAAAAGTTAAAATGAATTTGGTTACGGAGCTCTGTAGTGTAGGTTTTCAAAGGGACTTGAAATGAAATCCAAATTTTTTAGCTTTTTTCTTTGGATTTCTATTACTCCTTCATGCATCAGAAAAACTTTTGTGACCTTGAAAGACCTAAGAGAAAACCAAAGACAAAATGTTAACAAAGGAACAAGTTACGAAAAATTTTATACGTGGAGGTCTAGAAGATTTCTAGAGATCCAAAACTATATTTAAAGAAAATGGACGTGTACTTTGACGTTACATTTGGACGTTACTCGACACTACTTTATATGGAAAAGACAGTTTATTGGTCATGATAAATGTTGTTGTTAAAAAACGAAGATATTCACATTGAATTTGGAAAGTATTCGACGTTATCTGTGCATGGGAAAGAGCATTTCGTTAGTCTTGATAAATGTTGTTTCAAACAAACAAATTCATGTCGAATTTGGACACTACTCGACGTTTACTTTATATGGAAAAAGGCAGTTTGTTGGTCATGATAAATGTTATTGTTAGAAACGAAGATATTCATGTCGAATTTGGACAGTACTCGACGTTATCTGTGCAAGGGAAAGAGCATTTGGTTAGTCTTGATAAATGTTGTTGTTTCAAACAAATTTGAATGATTCATTTATTAATTTTTTCTAGAGTTGCTTTCTACAATAAATCAGATCCACTGATTGTGTAGAAAATAACTTCAAGAAACTTAAAAATTGAATCATATATACAATGGGACGTTGAACGCTATAAGGATTCGACGAAAACACCTTGAAGGATTTCTAAAAGAAATCCATTTTTACAGAACGTAAGTTCAAAAGTGAAAACAAGACCAAAACAAATACATAATACCACTAAATGAAAATCAAACCACCAAAAGTTCCATGGGTTAGTTAAAATGTAGAAGGATTTTGAAATCCATATCTGTTAACTTTTTGCTCTATTTTTCTATCATACCTTCAATCATCACAAAAACATTTCATAATGACGTTGAATCAAAGACAAAGAAATGTCTTGCTTTTGTGAACTTGAAGGAGTTAATAGAAAAACAAAGACAAAAAGATATCAAAATGAATTTGATTAAGAAAGCTTTGTAGGAAAGCAAAACTTTGGTGAATGGAGGTGTAACGTTTTGAAAGGGTGCGAAATCCAAATCTATCAACCTTTTTCTTTGAATTTCTATCATTCCTTCAAGCTTTTCACCATGACAAAGAATAAAACTACAAAGAAATGGCTCATTTTTGTAACCTTGAAGGAGCTAATAGAAAGCTAAAGAAAAAAAGTTAACAGAGGGAGTTGTTATGAGAAATTTTTATAAATGGAGATATAGAGGTTATTCAAGGCTTTAAAACTGTAATTATAAAAAATGGAGGTTTATGTTGATGTCGAATGTGGGAGAAATCCGACCTCATATATGCATGGGGAAGTGTAGTGAGAAGTCTCAGTGGATGATGTTGTTACTAATGATTGTTTGTATTCATGGTGATTTGGGGTTGGACGTTGTATTTGGATTATAGTCGACGTCATTTTTACTACATCGGTCACAAAATATTATACGTTTCTATTCAAAGATACAACAAACCGTGAAATCAATTGAGTGTAAAGATTTCTAAACCTTATTAAAATCATCGTTTTAAAAGACAATATAGAATAAATGACTCAAAACAGTTTTAGATAAGTTGTTTTTTTATTGTGTTTTTTTATCATGCAATAAGTAGTATCTATGAATAAAAAAAAGAAAATAGAATAGATTGTAATAAATTTGATTAAATAAAATAATAATTCATAGTAAACATAAAATCATTAATCCATAAATAACATTTATTCATAAAATTAATAGTTCATAAATGATAATTTATTTATTTCTTTTAAATTATATTAAATATTTTCAACAAAATATATATAAATATATATAAATATATATATATATGAAAATAATATAAATATAATATATTATATATGACACCAATTTTTTTAGAGTAATAAAAGAACCATTATTTAACAAACCCTTCAAATGTTTAGAACTAGTAAACTATTATCTCTCTGTATTCCTCGTCTCTTTTGTTAAAGCATGGAAAAGTTTGAATCTAAATACGCCTCTGCTTATCATACATAGAGTCATGTTATGAAGTGTGCATTATATTCAAGAATAAAAATTAAAGTTCAATAATTGTTGAATTTCGATGCCTTGTGCCACCATTCTACTTTACAATGTCATAGTCCTCACTCCTTCAATCTCACAAAGCACGATAATGCGAGGCTCTTTGGAATGATGCAAGAACGTTCTTTTAAAGTGTATTTTTGTATTCTTTTATGGCTTAATTTATCGTTTAGTTTTTAGTTTCGGTGTTCAAAGTCGTTCTATCTTTTAAAAAAGTTCAGTAATATTTAATATTTCGTAAAAATCGGTTTAAAATGGTCCTTTTGGCTTACGGCGTTAAAAACATGACGATACAATTGTCTCCGTGACCAAAACTGAATGATTTGTACAATTTTTGCAATAGGTGGCACGTTTGATATATTTGAAGGTGTAAATTAAAAAAAATTAATGATGTGAGCAAGGTTTAAGAGTTAAATGAAATTACCCTTACCTTAGAATTCATTGGCGATTTCTAGTCTTCAATTGAAAGTGGCTTGGTGATTCCTAGAAAACGCAACATAGGTCAGATCAATGTTGTGAAAATCTCCAACTTGAAGACGCAACATAGGGTTTCTCCTCCTTTTTCGTTTCGGTTCGAGAGTGTTTCACAAGAAGGGGATTTCAAATTGCAGCGTTTTGGGTTTCCTTTTCTTGTGTTTCAGATCTTGCAAATTTCAAGGATTTCATATTAGGGTTTTGAATCAGGGTTGATTTTTACGTTTTGGGGTTCTTTTCTTTGTTTGCGAATTGAGTTTCCTTTTCTTGGATTAATTTCACTTTTTAGGTTTTGGTGTTCATTATCTTGCAATTTGGGAATTCTCCTTACCTTGCTCCTTGTTTTTAATTGATTTGTGATTACAGCATTCATTGTGTTGGGTGGTGGTGGAATGGTGACTCCCCTTTGTTTTTTGTATTATCTATGCGTGAATGGACAAAGGAGAAAGGAAAACAGAATGAAGATTTTGGATGATGACCGGGTAGATTTCGAGAGTGTTATTGTGTATGCATTGAACTTGAAAAATGATGGTGCTAGAATGGTGTATTGATTGCGGGTTCGGGATGAAGAAATGGGTAATGGGTTGTTGTTTCTCTATTTGTATAGGTGAGATGTGATAATGTATGTATGGAGGTTTAGGGTGATGATGAAGGTGAAGAAAAGGTAGATGATGGGCACACAACAAGCGAAACGGTACAACCACGATTTCATTTAACCCTTTGTTAAACTTTTTCCACGAGATTAATTTTTATTTTTAAAATGTACATCTTAATTGACCTCTGCCACATATTACAAAACTAGACATCTCATCCACTTTTGGCCAGATGATTATATTTTTAACATTGTAAGTCAAAAGAACCATTTTGAACTATTTTTTACCAAATATGGAATATTACTGAATTTTTTTTGAAATGTAGGATGACTTTGAAGACAAAGTACAAAACTAGGGACCAAGTGATGAATTATGCCTTCTTTTATCTACTCCAAGTAATTCATTCCCTCATAATAAGAAAAATAATAAACAAAAGCGTTGTTTTTTTTTTAAATAAATTTCCATACATATGGTTATGATGGTGATTAATAGTCAACCAACCAATAATTTATTCATCATTGTTTATAAAAATTTTAACGGTATTTTTGAATGGGTCAACTTTTCTATAAACACTTCCAAACATATATGAAATATGTTTTAACAATAAATCAAAATTAATTTGAGCAAAAATTAATTTATAAAAAAAATTCAGATAGCTGCTTTAACTTCTTTTTTAACTTCTAAATAGTTTAATTTTAACTTTTGAAAAAACAATATTTCGTTTATTTCTTATTTTTCTTTCCTATAAATACTTATGAAGAATCTCTCCACACAAACTTTTAGTATGAAAATTTAATAAAGTTATCGTGAGATCACTTTCATAAATTAACTTATATATAAACTAGATTCCAACAAGTGAAAAAATTATTTATCCTTTTGATTGTTCCTTTTTCACAAGTGTTTATGAAAAATTATCTAAATAGATACATTGAACTTAACAAAATTAACCATATGCTGAGTTGAATTGCAGTTTATAGTTGAAACAGCAAGAATAAATGCAATTTTATTTATTCTACTAAATATCATTCATATTTGGAGAAATATTTTGGTGGTTTGTTACCTTATTTCAACACCCCATGTACCTTAATGTGCTGAAATGGACATTGAATTTCAAATTAATTAACATAAGCCATAAAGAGAAGCCTATTCATGTTTCTTCCCTTTTCCCTTGGGGATTTTGCTGAGCACACTAGCATCAAGATTTCTGTAGTGATGTTGCATCTGACCAAAAACCTTGTACACAAAGTTGTCAACTTCATCCTCATACTTTTCATAGAAAACTGGAAGGGTATGTGCTGCAACAAAACCTAAGAGCAAAAAATCTTTCCTCATCAATCAATCATGGCAAAGAAAAATATTATCTCAGCAATAAGGTATAACCTACATACAGGTGGCAAAACAGATCACAACATCTCAATCGTGTTAAAATTTTCAACCTGAGAACATGTTTTGATGATAAATTGGAAAATCAAAAGGGGATTCTCACCCCTTTTCTTTCTAAATGAAAAATTAAAATAAAAGATAATTTAAAAAATTAGCTTTCTTATATTATATTTTCAAATATGTAATAATAATATAAATTAAATCATTTACACTTATAAATTAAATTCTAATTATTAATTATAATAGAATATTTTAATGCAAATGTAATAACTATTTTAATTTATCTAATTAGAGGCATTAATTAATCAATTGAAAATTTTAAAAATATTGATATAATTAAATATGTTTTAATATTTATTTATTTATAATAACAAATTTTAAAAAAAAAAGTTAGAGACCCTTTACATGACACATTGTCATTCTGATTTGTAAAGCTAACTACACTTAAAATATCAAAATCACAGTCTCCATAAGTGTATATTGAAGGTTCAGCACAGGAATAACACCCAAACCTCAACACAGAATCCAAATCCAAATTCATGACTAAAATGATCATAAATGGCTAGTTTTAGGGGCTAAAATAATAATAAATGGTTAAGTTCAGAGATTAAAATTTAAAATGACAAAAAGGGATCAAATCTAAAGACCAAAATAATATAGTAATTATGTTATGTAGGGGGTTTTCTAATCACAAGACTAAAATTACACTTTTGAAGGCCAAAGTAACTGTTTTTACTTATTAGTTGAAACATATAACAGTTTTTCAAATATGCAGACCAATGGTGTGGCTCTAGGGAAGCTCAAATGTATACAACCTCACCCCTACAATGGCTAAGTCACAAAGCTGTAATAATCCTAATAATAAAAGCAAAGGAACATTTTACTATCTTTCTAAAGTCTACTATTATTCACTGAAAATTATTAGAAATCACAGATTTCAGTAGCTTCTACTTTCAAATCAGGAAAAACATATTAAGTGAGACTCATCAAAATTTGCAATTTTCAATAAGTTTCAACTAATAGTAGAGAGTGTGTTATAAAGAAAGTGTTAGATACAAAAGAATGTTGAACAATTTATAAATCAAAGGAATAATGAATCCATCAAAAGAAGAAGGCAGGTCTCTCACCAATATAGATGACAGATATGAAATTGCACCAGCTTCCAATCACAGCACCAGCAAACAAAGCTCCTACAACCTGGGGAAGTTTTGACCATTGATCACAAACTCCATGGAGAAATATGTCTTTTTTTCTTTACTACATGTAGAAATAAATTCATTTTTTAGGTATGTAAATGGTTAAAAACAAGAGGTAGGTGGTGGAACTGCTCTGTTATGGTGTGAATTCAAGATATCAACCATTCCAATTGTTAATTTGCTATGTAAATATGATACCCCAAATCAAGAAAAAGCAACAAATCTATTCATTTATTTGTCACAGCTTCACCCGCTGTCAAAGTAAGTCAACCCGACTTATATGGACTAACTCACTACAGGTTGATCTAAAAATAAGTCAGCTCAAACCAACTTCAGCGAGCTAGAAATTTTATAACCTGGCTCAACTTACCATGGATTTGTGAATTAGGTGCATTAACTCACTAAAAAATGTTTTGATCTTTTAATTTATATTATATATTCATTATAGTAAAATAAAAGCAGATTGACTCATGTCATTTCTTTTATAACAATATAATCAAAATATTCACCTATTTCAACAAACATTAATATAAAGATATAAATTGAAACACTCTTAATTGACTCTAAAGTGGCTTCGCTTTCAGTGATTTGGCATGGAAGATCCTGTCATTGATCTAAACAGACTAAAACTATGTAAGAATATAGGGAATATAATGGTATTGTCAATGTTAGACCAACATAGAGCCTCACATTAAGAAAAGATCAAACAAGCATGTGCCATGAAAATTGGCAGGTATAAATAACATAACTATTTAAAAACTATGCAGAAAACTCCAAAGTAAATGAATTAAATGAAAAGCAAGTCCTGATGCAAACACAAAAGTAAGAAACTAAAGAAACTATACATGACAATACCAAAGTGTTTGAACATAAATGCAAACATACAATAAGAAATTGCTTCAGGTTTCCTCCACAAGCAGCATCTTGAAGAAATCTCAAGCCCCGGTTGACCTCACCACCAACTACAGTTGCAATATTCACAAACAGTTCTTCTGGGAGAACAAGACGGGGTACATCAGATGGCAGTCTGTTAACATAAACAACTAATCATACTTAGTTAAAGCTGAAAAGTTGGGTAACATTGATGAAAAGAAAACAAAAAGAGGTAAAGATGCATGAATAACCTGTTGAAAAAGCCAGAAGCATTTGACCATAGAAACTGTGCAAGCATAACAATAACCAATGCAAAGCATAAAAGAGTAAGAAAATGGTAGTTAAGCCATTCAAAAAGCACCCATATAACCGTTGCACTAGTTAAAACACTTGCAGAAATCTTCTTGTTCCTCCATAACAAAACATCAGCAGCTATGACATTCAAAGGCAAACACAAAAGATTATTTAAATGGTTTAGTTAATGCTAATACAGTATATGATTAAATAGATTTATCTGTGAGCACTTTTAGAAGAGGAAAACAAAAGGGAAAACCAAATTTCTTAATAAAATATAATTAGTTATGGATAAGTTAAAATAAAGTTTGGAGACGTTAATGGGAGAACTTCTATGAAATTGCTTATAATGGGAGACGTTAATGCTAATACAGTATAAGCTGATTTTTGTTTATGAAAAAGTTATTTCATTTTTTTTCTTACTCTATTCTCCTAAAGGAACTTATAGAGAAGTAAATAGTTTAAATACCATACATTTTCCACCCCCTAAAATATGGTGCACTGGTTTCTCACGTCCAAACAGTCTATTGATCTGGGAACCCACTGAATCTGACTTATCACCCTCAAAGAATGGTACAGATTTTTTCTTCTCAACAAATGTGTCCACAAGGCTTTCAATAAGGTTTTCAGCTGTGATTTTGTCAGACATTGTTCCTGTGCTACCAACAACCAAAAAAACATGATCAAAGACTGTACAAGATGGCTTTCATACAAAAATCAAAGTCTGTCTTATTAGTAACATATATGAGAAAACCAACAAAATTTAAAGGCTCAATTTTGTTTTCTAGGTCATAACATATGCAGTGACCATATTGATAACTTCAAAATAAAAAAATCATTGATAAATGTTACTGCTGCAACCATCCAACACAGAAATTTGTGTAGGTCACAGATGAAACATATCTAGCAAATGATTAATTTTATCTCTCCTCATTTAAAACTCATCAAGCTTGACACATTGACAGTATTTCTCTTTTGCCTTCAAATCTTAACACTACAAAATTTCACAACTCCTCAAAATTACTGCTGTATTTCAATCTTTTCAGAACTCAAGTCTGCAACAAGCATTAAATTCCTAGGTCATCATAACAGAGCCCTTCAAAGCCAGAAACTCCTTTTCTTTCTCAATTTCTCAAGATTAGTATTTAATTTTTAAATGCCACCCTTCATTAGGCACAAAGAACTGTTTCATAAAAGTAAAGAAATATGAATCATTATTACAGTCTGAAATACAAAACCCAATTAAGGAAACTCAATCACCCAAAAGGGCAACCAGAGTAGATCATCAAAATTGCAATGGAACTACTGAAATTATGAAAGAAAAATGAAAAGAAAAAAGGAAAGAAATGGGTGTTAAAGATTCAGTTTTTTATTAATTCAAACCACCACATGTGAATTTAACAAGCCAATCAAAAGACATGCATACCCAACAACCAATTACAGAAGAAAAGGAAACAAATTCAGTATCATAAGCAAATGAAGATCTCTAACCAGTGTAAGCAGAGGCAGAATGAAGTAAAAATAGAGGCAGAGAGAAAAAGAAAGGGAGACAGAGAAATACAGAAAGAGAGACAGATAGAGGATGTCTTAGGGAGTCAAAAGATTATCCCAAATTCAATGAAAAACAGACAAATAAAATACAAGTAATAACTGAACTCACCAACTGGTCAACTACCAAGAACACAAAATCGTATGTCTCTGCTTTTATTTGTAATCTACTTTGATTTTGAGTTCAATTTTGATGCTAATGAAGAAGCCTTCAATTTTTTGTTCAAGGTTGTACAATAAAAAATTAAACATTGAAGATGGAAACACGAGAAGGCTGCGAAGAAGACAATTATGTTTTTAATATCTATAACATTATAAATTTATTTTTTAATATTATAACTTATTTAACTATATAGAATTTTTAATTCATATAACTTTCGTAAATTTTGACTTTAATGACTGTAAATTATTTTCTTTTTATTTTTCAAAATTTTTAAATTAAGATTATTATTTTAAAATAGACTAATAATATTATTTTATAAAGTTAACGATAAGTTTGGAATATATCAAGATTATATTTCTAATATAATTATGTACTCTTATTCAACACAAAAATAGTTAATTAATTTCATATAGTAATACAGATAAATATAAAACTATAGAACAATATAATTAAAATGTAAGAAAACTTATTGTATTTATTTATTTATGAAAAATAACATTGAAGAAAAATAAAAAATAATGAATTGAATATTATATAAGAAAACAGAAAGTAAATTTGTGTAGCAATGTAATATAAATTTTCATCCAAATTATTTAAATAGATTATGCACATAAAACTTACTTAACTAAACGTCAGATAAATTTCATCCTAAATTCTTTACGAGAAAAATAATTGTCAATTAAAATTAATTCATCTATAGTTATTATATTAAAAATTTAATATTAATTTTATCTCTATTTGTCAAACCTCGGAAAAACGCACTCAAACCCTCCTGTTAGAGCCATTTAAAACGCACCCAAAACCCTCTGCGCAGACGCCAAGTGTCAATCAACGAAGTTTCGAAAATCAGATAGTGGAAGGCAGGTGTCAGCAGGAGAGTGGACGTCCGTTCGGACGTGGGAAACAAAAGTGATTTTCTGAAAACCCATACACACTCTCTTCTGCATGTACCTTCTCCTTTCCAACCTCTGATCTTCCATTTCTCCTTCTTCTCTTTAGAAACTCTCCCTTCTCTCTACCAAAACTCACCTTTTCTCTATTCCGATCACTGTTTAGGCACCGTGGAAGCATTCCCGGCGTCCCAAGCTTCTTCTTGAATCGAACAAATTTCAAGTTTGAGCGGGTAACTGTATCTGTCCTTGGTCGTTCGTCTTTTGTTACATGCAAACCAAGTTTTGGTTTCATGCGAGGGTGTAGTCTAAGTTACGTTGGTTTCTTGCTGTTTGGTTAGTTTGGAGAATTATTGATCGTTGAGGGTAGAAAGTTTGTAGTCGAACAAACCAAGAACCTACATTTAGGACAATCAATCACGTATCCAGGTAAGGGAAGCTTATTAATTTAATTTGTATGTTTTACTGTGCTGCATGGACGTTCCTTGAGTTGCATGTGAAGCATGATTGTTGTGATATTTGATTATTTGATATATGATAATTATTATGAGCTGATGTATGAGGAATATGAAATGTACTATGGTATGAAATTATGAAGTTATATGCTGAGAAATGAGTTTGAATGAAAATGAATTCTGAATATGAACTTTCCATATGATAATGTACGTTCGTCATTGGACGGTCCTTGACCGTTCGGTTTTCTAGTGAGGTTGGAATTGTAGTGAATGCTTTCATTTGGGAAGGATTCTAGTTGAGGACGAATGTCTGCACTTCGGGATACTGTGTATGAGCGTTCGGCCAAACACAGTGGGTATTACCGTTTGGTTATAAATCTAAGTATATATGTAATTGTATATTCTATTGTTCGTAACCACTATTTCAATATTATTGTACTATATTTATCAAAGCTTTTCATGCTAAGTTATCGGTGCTCGGTCCTA